CAGAATCGCATCTGAGAGTTCTGCTCTGGAAGAAAGGTGTTACAAATGAGATTATTTTGATACTCTTTTAGTAGCTGAACCAATAACCTATACGTTGGGGTGAATTTTATTTATGTCTAAATACAGAAAAGTCGTATCATGTCTTTGTTCGAATTTAAATTAGCAGTCATAATTATAAATGTTGTATTATCCTATGCTGAATTGTTTCTTTACTCCTTACAATTTATGTTTTCCTAGCCTTTAACAGATTAAGACAGGCATTTAGATAAGTGTTTTAGGGTAATCCAGTATACCAGTTAAGTAAAGGGTGCACTTTTCTCTTAGTGGATCATATGAATTGCTTTCAATACAAATGTTGGAGCATTTAACATAATTACATTTTTCAAACTGCAGTTTCTAAATTAAACATTTCAGCGAAGATTTTACCATGTACCATGCTTTCTTATATACTGTTTTCACTTATTGTTACATCGTTAGTATGCCATTTAGGTGGAACAATCTTTCATATTAGCCAAAAATCAAGAATAACAAATAAAGACCTTCTGCCCTTTAGGTACTTGGCACAAAATGAAAGCTAATTGTAAACAACAATAACAACAAATAATGTACTGAATGCATAGCTTCAGTGACCTTGAGTTGTTCTGATTAATGTTATCAGTGTCCCTGTGAATTTGCATTATCATGACTTCATGCTTTGACAATTCTAAGAACATTTTTCTAAGAGCAGACATCAGCTGTATCCCTTCTTTCCTTTCTCTCTTTCTCTTTTTTGTATATGGAAAGCACTTTCAAATTAGAGCAAAATGTGAACTGCCTATGTATCTCATTCCAATGACAAATTTGAATTCACCTCTTATTTGATGTGCATGTTCAAGGAACCCATTGACAGGGGAGGTTTCCAGTGTATGTATATATACTAAAAGGTGGAATACATGTAGGAGGAAATCATACAGAGCATTCTAATATGCAATTTTTACTCTTCCTCTTTGCTAGAAGGATTTTCTTCCTAAAGTGGGGGTTTGAACCTTGGTTCTCCTTAGTCCTAATCCATTACACTAACTATGACACACTGGGTACCCTTTTTTGCTATCGTTTTTTTATAATCATATTCCTGCATCTGGGTAAACATTAGGAAAATGGGGTTGGTTTATTTGGCTTTTAACTGCCTGGAATATTTTAAGTTGTCTTGAAGACACACTGTTGGTGTCCTTTTGTACATTGATGAGTGCCACAAAACATAAAAGACAGCTCACACATCAGTTTTCAGGGGACCCTCTTCTCTTTTTATCCTACATATTTGTATTTTTTTCATTCCTCCCTTTTCAGTTTTTTAAAATGCTGATCATTCACTTCATTTCATAGACTTCTGCCATTCCATTCCTCTGAGAACTTTTTGAGTGGCTTAACAATCAAAGAACATTATTGCAGCAAGAATAAAAGGTAGTGGTGGCAGTGTTTGTGTTGCCCCCTTGGAGTGGACAGTGACTTAGTTGTAGGCTCTGACCTTACCAGCTGACATTTGCTGAACTGGATCACTTTTAAACCTATGATCTAAACCAAAATAGTATTTGTCTGGTGAAATCAAACAGTTTTGATGCTTTCGTAAGCAAAAGAAAACTGATTAAAAACATATGATTGCTGTAACACTAAACAGTAATATGACAGTTGATCTCACACTTCTAGGACCACAGAATGTAATTATTTTGTCAGTTTGATGAAAGCTATGTAAAGGGAATGATCTGTAACAAATCAACCACAAAGTTCTGTTAAATGTGGTTTTTCTCAACATCATGGTCTAAATATTTATCTCTACCAATTTAAAATGTTATGTATGGTTTCCAAGTCAATACCAAGTTATGTCACTTGATGGTGTTTTGTTGCAGTAGATTTAACCCTGCACCTCTCCTCCTGGTGTCTAGGTTGCCAAAAATATAGGGAAGACAGTATTCTGCTTCAGCCAAATGAAGCAATGCATTCAGATTTCCTGAGGAAATGGCCTCCTCTTGTGAGCAACTAAAATATTTATTGACCCAGGTTTTGTCTCACTGAATTTGTTGTTGGCTAAAACAAGCACAACTCTGTAGGCTGTAATGAGATAATCTAAAACTGGTCATACCCCCTGCCTAGATTTATAGGTGAATGGTATTTCAAATACTGTACATTTTAAAGGAAAATGAGGTATTTCTGGAGGGAAATACGGCATGTTTGATGTCTTGATGACATATATTTGCATCTAAAGTGGTTGTGTTAACTGTTTTTCTTAGATACATAATCTGTTTATAAAATATATAGTTAAAGATTCCAAAATGGTAATATAAAAACATATACAAGTGAAGAAGTAGAATTAAAGCATTCATATACCTCTTTTACACCCATTTTTGTTTCAGTGTCTGTGTTCATGTTGTAATTAATCCTATTACTGGAGACTGCTTTTAACATCTGTACTGTCTTATATATAATATTATGATACTTAACTTTGCAGTATGAGCATCTAAAATCTTCAGGTATTTGAAAAATACAGGACAGCAGGCATTTCTACTCTTCTATACAGCATCTTGCTATGTGTACTCCAATGGCCCAGGAAGATCACTGCTCTCCTTATTATCTTATTCCAACTATTTTCTGTTCTGCCTTCTTCAGTTGGATCCCTCCCATTTTAGTTTGGTTGGATAATACAAGAAAAATATGAAAAACAGGTCGTGACATTATTGATACAAAATGACTCCTGATGAACTTGAAATAAGAAAGTGCAAAAGTAGGATTGTAATTGAACACTAAAAAGAATAAAAACCATGACTACAGAAGAACTACTCAACTGTAATATTGACAATTAATACACTGAAATTCTCAAAGAGTTTATATATCTCAGTATATGGAGACTGCAGTCAAGAAATCAGATGAAGACTGAGACTTGGAGTGGCAGCTGTGAAACAGAAAATATATTCATGTACAAAGATATCTCACTGGGCACCAAGGCCATGATTATCTATCCCATTTATTGTATACAGAGTTGAAAGCTGGACAAAAAAAGAATCAATTCATTCAAAATGTGGTCTTGGAAATGAACTTCATAGATACCATGGATCACCAGAAAAATAAGAGGATGCTAGATCAAATCAAGCCAGAACGCTTTTTGGAAACAAACATAAATAACATTAGGCTATCATACTTCAGGTACATTGTGAGAAAACAAGACTTAATGGAACAAACACTAATGCTAGGAAAAGTTGAAGGCAGCAAGAAAAGAGGAAGACAAATACAAGATGAATTGGCTCACTGAAAGAAGCCATGGTCTTGAGTTTGCAAGATGTAAGTGAGGCCATTAATGATAGGACCTTTTGGAAGCCATTAATTCATAAGATCTCCATGATAGAAACAGCTTGATAGTGCATAATAACCACCACTAAAAACTGCTGTTTTTAATTTACATATATTCACATTATTATTCCTTTTGAGACCCATTTGCCTCTCACAGAACATTTACTTGGGAGAAAGTGTCCAAATGAAAGATATTTGTACCACACCAGGGCAGTAAAGGGTGATCCAAAAACCTCAGTTATACCAGGAACATTGAGGATGCCCTTCCAAATTACTGAAGTTTGCTCTAGTGTTTGAGAAGTTCAGATGATGACAATTAAACAAAAACACTCTGCATCAGTTACATGTCAAAGCATGAAGGAAGCACTAGAACAGCCAGACTGACAACTAAAGCTCAAAATAAAACAATTGTCCTATGATTATTTGGATGCAGATCTGATTGGGCAGTATTTGCACACCTCTACATGATACTGTTTGCTGTAGTCAGCAGTTGGTGTCCACTGTGCGTAGGAACTCTGCCTTTTCCTTGTTTTAGACATCAGAGAATGTTGGGGTTTTGCCTTCTTTTATGCCATCTATTACTGCAGTTGTTCACCAGATTATACTAATAACCTATATGAATACTTAATACTGTATGTAAAAAGACATTGAATCAAGTTTTAAGAATGCTTATGGTTGATCCTCTGTGGTATTGCATGTTTAATGTCTGTCTGTCTGTCTGTCTGTCTGTCTGTCTGTCTGTCTGTCTGTCTGTCTGTCTGAGTTTGTAGCATTGAACTTTGCTTGAATAAGTGTAGTGTGTGAATATTTCATTTATCTTTTTCAGCATTGTATGGGGAAATATAGATTCACTGTATATTACCTTGAAATAAATAAGGTTAAGGTAAAGGTTCCCCTTGACAATTTTTGTCCAGTCGTGTTCGACTCTAGGGGGCGGTGCTCATCCCCGTATCCAAGCCATAGAGCCAGCGTTTTGTCCAAAGACAATCTTCCGTGGTCACATGGCCAGTGCGACTTAGACACGGAACGCTGTTACCTTCCCACCAAGGTGGTCCCTATTTATCTACTTGCATTTGCATGCTTTCGAACCGCTAGGTTGGCGGGATGAAATAAATAGGCATAGTGTAAAATGGAGTTGAGGTGCCATGCTAAACAACTCCTCCTTCCTGTCAGTGCATTTTCTAGAATGCAGTTATAGTAGCAGCATTTGTCAGAACTGATTGATTCTTACATACTTTATGGGTTACCAAAGTTGGATGATCTTGAAAACTTTTACAACATTCATCTTTGGAAAATATGGTTAGAAAGGATTGGCTGTGCAACATTTTTTTTAAAAGCAACTAAAGGAAGACAGTTGTTACTTTCTTAGTACATAGACATCTAGAAGCCCTGCCAAACATGGCTAGGATAGAACTTGAAAGTGGATTTTACTTCAAATGATTTGTTTAAACTATTTTTGCTCTATGGATAGTTCCCCCCCCTTTTTTTTTTAAAGAAATTATCTAGATTTTCAAAGTGAACATAAAATAGTTTGCTATTTCAGTTGCACTTTGGAATCTTCTCAAATGAAGACAAAAGCACCTGCAAAAACAGTCAATCTGTTACATAGTTCAGACAATCTCTGGCATCCCTTAAAGACATCTTTTTCTCTCTCCCTCTTTCTCCTTTTTTATTTTCTGTAGTTCTTTGAGGTTCCATTCGACTCGAATATGAACAGGACAAAAAACAGACCCCTGGTACGAGGACAGATCAGGTAAGCCTGCACACACCTGCCCTTTAGAATGAGTAATGACTCTTATTGTTCCTTTTATATATTTTGCTAGTCTTCTGCCTTTCCTTGTGTTTAGATAAGCAAATATGTCAAATTATCAAGAACAAAAGATCTGGAAAGAGCAACTTTTCTTTGTGTGTGTGCTTTGATGATTCTGAAAGCTCATAATGTCACATAGAAAACATACTGGTTTGTCCCTCTCATCACATTCAGGAGACTTTGTACAAATGATTCAAAGAAATTAAGAGTTACAGGTTTTCAGATGTTCCTGTATAATCTCATATGCAAACCTAGTTGGATCTTTTGCTGTTGACTTAACAAATCCCATTCATTTAGTGGGTCTGATCTAGTTGGGACTAAAAACTGAATTAACCCAATGGACCTCCCACAAACATTCTTAAAAGGCATAGCAAAAAAAGTCTAAAATTTGTAAAGATTCATGTTAGCCTTCTCTACTAGATCGTCAGAGGTGATGTGAGAGATAGATACATGCTAGAGACATTGGTCAGTGCTCCACTATCACATACCTCCCTTAGAGAATTAATGACACATGTAGTTTACTCCTTGTTGTAGGTTTGCTCTGTAATGATTCTACTCCATCACTGTTCATTGCCAAAAGAACAAAAGAATCCATGCTGCAATTAGAATAAACTGTGTGAATCAAACGGGTGTATTCTGATCTACCGTATTTTTCGCACCATAAGATGCACTTTTTTCCCACAAAACAGGGGGGTGGAAAGTTTGTGCGTCTTACGGAGCGAAGAAAACAGATTATATTTTCCTGTTTTCTTCTCCTAAAAAATTGGTGCGTCTTATGGAAAGGTGCGTCTTATGGAGCGAAAAATACGGTATTTCATTTAATCTGTTCTAGCTAATCTTATCTATTGAGCTAATCCAACATTATAGTCAAATAACTTTCTTTCCTCCCCTCCCCTCTGTCTGAAACAAAGATCTAGAGCAGTGGTTCCTAACCTTGGGTAACTCAAGTGTTCTTGGACCGCAATTCTCAGAAGCCTTTGCTACCAGCTGTGCTGGCCAGGGGTTTCTGGAAGTTGCAGTCCAAGAACACCTGGGTTACCCAAGGCATGATGTTAAAAGAAGTTACCATAGAAATACTGACAGATATATAGTCAAGAGAAAATTGGACAACCATCTGTCAGAATTGCTTTCATTTAGATTCCTGCATTGAGCAGAGGGTTGAATTTACAGGTTCCTTCTAACAGAGTTATTATATGATTCTATAAAGTAGTAATATACAGAAACAGGACATCTTTGAAAAGATCCAGGGTTGCAGAGTGCTTTATGACTAAGTCTGTCATTTCAGTTACTTGGTTTATCACAGAAACATGAGGATAAATTAAGATTCATGACGGCAGTTAGATATGTCTAGAAGAAATGGCCCTTCTGGTAATTGATGGAATGGAGAGGGGTGTTGTGTCCTGTATCTTTTCTTCGTCACTCCCAAGGCCCATTAGTACCTTACTAACACTGCCACTTTCCACATTTGATGATAGACCATGTTTATCTTTCTACTTTTAATGTTCCCTTTCTCTAGTCTAAGTAGAGCTACTAACAATTGTAGTTTCTGGAATTATTTAGATTATTGGCCCTTTCTCTTATTAAAGGCTATAGACAGAATAGTGCTAAACTTTCTGTTTCTGAAATACTTGTCTTTTCATAGTATGTAAGCCACTGCAAGCTCATTTTTCTCCCTTTTCTTCCCTTTTATTGTGAATCCTAAAATAGGAGTCAAATCTCCAGTGATGTTTTACAATCAGAATGTTTAAACATATGTCACCTTTGTGACACATGTGTATGCTCTCTCCTGCATATGTACATAGAAATAAAAAGCCAGTGTCCCATGGGGCTGCTGTTTGAACAGAAACTTAAGGCAACCTTGATTTCTGTTTGCGTGTCTGGTCAGTTTCTTAAAGGATTGGATTCCAATATATGGGGGATATGGGGGGGTGCTACACCTTTTTTGCAAGCTTTTAACTAAAGCCCTTATTCATAAACTATTCAACAAACAATTTTCAGATAGCATTTCCATGATTTTGTGCCAAGGATTATTTATAACAAAATTACGTTTTCCCTTAGGCATTTGCGAACAGTTGGTCCTATTTATTTCTGTGTTTTATCCATCATCTTTGGATTGAAAAAAAGAAATGGTGGATGAAATTACATGAAAATTGAAACAAAATAGTAAAGTAAGCCCTGGAGGTAAACTCATTCTAAATAGAGTACTTTGGTAAACTTGTTCTGATTTATTCTACAAGATGGTGCTAATTACGAATTTCTAAATTCAGTTAATTTTTGTACCCATCATGGGAATATTCTGATGTGAACATCTCTCAAGAACACTGTGAGACGAATCTTGGGCTTTTTCCAAAATCACTATGTATGGTAAACCTGAGGTACTCTGGTCCTTACATTTGGTTAGTTTGGTAGGTTTAAATTCCTCCCTCTTTCTTAGTTTCAAATCACACACACCGAAACCCAGCTGAGCCATATGCCAGGTAGAATCATACTGTAAATGAGAAACTTGATTCTTCCATGTATAGCCATTTCAACAGAGGAAATAGAGCAGAGTACATAAAGGATACATAAAGTTCTTTTTTTTTTCTGCTTGAACTAGCATTCTCGTGGCGCAGTGGTTAACACGTTGTACTGCAGCTAGAACTGTGCTCACGACCTGGGGTTCAAATCCCAGGTAGCCGGCTCAAGGTTGACTCAGCCTTCCATCCTTCCGATGTCGGTAAAATGAGTACCCAGCTTGCTGGGGGGGCAATGTGTAGCCTGTATAATTAAAAAATTGTAAACCGCCTGGAGAGTGCTTGTAGCGCTATGGGGCGGTATATAAGTCCAATAAATAAATAAATAAATAAATATGAAACAAGTGTGTAAACATATGTGTCTTTCCCAAAGTTTTTATATTTGATATGGAAAATTATATGTTTCCTATGTGGAGCTTTCTTAAGATTTTTATTTTTATCTTTATTCATAGGTCACAAGCATATAGGAAGATACTCAACTTTATTTAGGGCAAATAATCAGCTAAAGTTTTTAGAAGGCTACATTTTAAAGTCACAGTCTTTTAGAGATTCCATTTGTCCAAAACTATATTCACTAGACTTGAAACTTCATTATATTTATTTCTCATTCTCCCTTGCCTACCCTTTGTGGTCATTGGGGACCTCAAGGCAATCATTCATCAATCTACTTATCCAACTGTCAACAGTTAATTTAATGTTCTTTAAAGTGTCACTTAACCTTGAATGATGTTGGTCTAAGCTCTTATAGACTTCAAGCTAGACATCAACCAGCATTATTTCTTTGGCTCACCAAAACAGCACACTGTGAGATGCAATCTTTTGCTGTACATTTTCTCAGTGTTGTTTGAATGTTGCTTTCTTTCCCAGTTGCATCTATTCTATGGACATAATAAAGACTAGTCAGAACAGCATAGAGATGTGTAAATTGTGCTTAAAAGGCTGATGTCTTGCATTCTGGGAATCATTCCAGAAAAAGTTTGGGGCATGTACAAAGGATTCTGTATGACTTCAAAGCAGTGCTGTTGTTTTTGATTGTGTTTTCTTTCTTTCTTTTTTTCTTTCTTTTTTTGTATGCTTCTGTTGGTTCTCATCAAATTTAATCTTTGTCTAGTCTGTTCTCCTCCTTTCAGTTTAACCCCTCGTGCAATAAATCAAAGGACACCTACTGACAGCAGAAATGCTTTTTGATGCCTTACTAATTTTACCCAGTATACTGAACTAGAGAGATTTTTGTCAGCGAAACTAGTAACTGAAAAATCATAGATATGTTAACAGTTGTCTGGCTGCTTTCTCAGGTATCTTTTGCAGCTGTTCTCAAGCCAACAGACAATTGGCCCTTTGCTATTATGAACCCCTTTGAGCTATTCATTTCCTCCAGATAGTCATCTTTGTTCTGCCCTCATTCCCTTTCAGATACAGGTTAAAATGTTTTAACTTTTCCAGATGCCTTTAGGGGTTTCCTGTTGATTCCCCTTTAGGCTGTTTTCCTTCCTTCCATTGTCAATTCTGTTTTACTTGAAATTCTGGACAATTTTATGGGCCCATACAAAGTGCCTATGATCCTGTGTACTTTCTTTCTATCCATAGCCACTTCAAGGAAAGTATAGTAGCACAAAGGCTGAAATAGCCCATTCTGTATTCTTCTTTGATGATACCTTTTGCAATCTTCAAGCTGCCATTTAATTGAAAAGTACTTCGTGAGAGTAAGCTTCACTTTGTATCAGTTCTAGATGTCACAATTTAAGAAAGATGTTGGCAAGTGGAACCGTCAGGAGAACTATGAAAATGAGAGATCAGAATGATAAACTGCATAAAAACGAGGGTGAATACAATAATTAAAATTAAGGCAATGCAAGATGCTAAGCAGAGGGGTGGCCTTGGCCTTCCTGATTGGGTTCTGTATTATAGAGCTTGCATTCTAGATTGGATAAAAGAATGGATAACTCTAGAAAATGATAGATTACTTATCTTGGAAGGACACGATTTGCAATTCGGTTGGCATGCTTATTTATGGTATAAAAAGGATAAAGAACAAAAGAACTTTAACTCACATATGATAAGAAAAGCTTTACTGGGAATGTGGAGAAAGACTATACAACAAATTTATTACAAAATACCTGTATGGGTGTCACCGATAGAGGCCTTTACGCAACGTAATCTTATGACAAAAGCAAATCTTTTAAGATATCAAGATCTATTAAAAAAGGATGGTGAATTAAGGTCTAAAGAGGAGCTAGAGTCACATAATGTCTATATAGACTGGTGGCCTAGAGCACAGCTAGAATCTAGATATACAAAAGATAAAATAGAAGGTTTCTACTCAGAGCAAACGATTTTTGATAAACATTTACTGGGTTCAAAGGAACAAATTGTTAAGAAAATGTATAATTATATGCTGGAAATTAAAATGCAAGATGAAACGGTTGAAGA